CCCCAAAACCCCAAAACCCCTTCAAACTTAAAAATCCCAAATTAATGGAAATGAAATAAGTTATAATAAAATAAATTACATGAAATAGGTGTCCAAATGGTTAGATAGAATTTTCTTATCAATGGTGGCTTATATTTTATTGATTGAAAAATCGATGGAGATACCTTGTACAGAAAAGACTTTCCCTGTCTTATTAGGATCTAGCAATGGAAAGACAAATTTCCAACTAATAGCCTACTCTGATTTGTATGAAACTGTATTAAATATCCTGTTTATTTCTCAAATATAGATTGCGGTGGGAGGCTTCTCAGATGCAGCTGATTATACTTCTATAAATCCTTTCACAGAAATACCTTATTTCTATACTAATGTCGTTCCAGAAACTTAAATCAACGCAACCTTTGTGGGAACTTACGACAAACTGGGAAATGCCAAGTGGGCAAAATATGTAGTTGATTCTACATTATATTATTCAGTTGTTTCCACCTTAACTTTCAGCTCTAATCATACTTAGCTATTTGTTGTTATTGAAAATAGATTTTTCATAATTGATTCTTGAACTGGTAATTTATTACTTACTCTAAACTATTTGAAATAAGGAGAGTTCGTTATTTTACCTGATTCAATCACCTAAGATAATAGCTATAAGATTTATATGAGCATTACAGATTCTAGATTTAAATTGATTTAAATAGATATTGCTACTGATATTCAGTCATTGGGATAGAATAATTTTCCCGTATTATATTATGATTTAGATTTGTAAAAATCAGCAGCTCATACAGTTACTATCTATACTGCTATTGATGCTCAAACCTTAATAATCGTTGGTGGATTTACCGTCTTAATTGATGATATCGATACTTCACTTGAGAATAAGACAGCTTGCCTATTTTTATTCGATCAATAGTTGAACTTATTGGATACATTTATTCCTCATACTGAAGAGGCACCTCTTAATCCTGCCGAAATGATTTCAAAAGTGTACTATTTGAAGACTCGCTCCTATAAAACCCTGGCTACTATTGATGAGTTTGTATTTGGTTGTGCAGATTCTAATTATGAGTAGCCAATATTTGTTTCAAAAGTTTACATTAGAGTAGATATAGACACAAGCTTTAGGAATCTATAATCTTTGAATCAGTAAGTATCCTAAATTACTTTATTAACTCTCATACTTTAATTTTACATTTATCTAACACTTAATACTTTAGTCAAATTACGTTACAATAAAGAGAAGAAGATCTTCATTCTGTCTGTGTTACGATGAAACCAATTAATAGTACATTTCTGACAATTTTAGTGAAGCAATTGATTGGGGGTTTTGAATTCGCTCAGGTCTCTATTAACTATATAAAGAATACAGCTTAAGTCAAATATATTATGATGGATAACACTCTATCGGCTTTTATGTTTTCTCATGCAACAATTTTAAGCTATGATAAGTTTTTCTTTTGTGGATTTACAAAGAGTGGGTTGCTGAAAGTTCAATAACCTTTTAATTAAACAAATATGAATGGCTTCTTTATGAGTAGTGTTTAAGAAGAAAGTTATCTACCTTTCATAAAAATATCCTAAAACTTAGATTCAAAATAGTTTTTGCAAACTCCCTCTTCAAATTTTACACTACTTACACTTGATACAAGATCACCATTTGCAGATAATTTATAGTTCTAATAAAATCTGATGACAAATAATCTATCTAGAGTAAAGATAGAATTCGCAGATTTATACTATATTGACGTCTATATAAATGAAGAAAATTAAGTGCTTAATCTACCAAGTTGTCTAGCTAATGATGAATATACAGTTAATTTTTATACTAAGTTAAATGGTAATGATGCAGTAGGAACTCTCAATATCTACTCTTCCACTTATAAGAATTCATCTACAAATTTTATTACTTAAAATAATGCAATGCTAGGGAAAAGAATTATAGATTATGTAATCTCAAAAGATTTATGTATAATAGGTTCTACGTTTTAATGGCTTTAAACATACAGTTAGGATCTAGCTTATAAAGTGCAGACTTGTCTATCATTCACTAATAAAATCTTTAAACCGCTTAAAATTAATTTCAGGGATAAATGCATCGAAGGAGGAATCTTAAGGAGTGTAGTAGTTAATGGAACTTAATTCACATACTATAAGACTTATCCTGCCATTCGTATTCCATTAATTAAAAATGTTTCTAAATCCTACTGCTAATATACATACTCTTTAAATTCTAGTTTAGACACAACCAGATACGCATCAATCGGTAGTTATTCATTTTCGTATGATAGTCTACTGATCTATTCAGATTTCAAATCTTTTATCTAGAATGATACTTTTGTATTCTAGGTCTAGCTAAAAGTTGGTACTGAGTTAGTCAAATCAGGAAGCTTTAAAGTTAATATGAAGATTGAAAACTGCTTTTATTCTGAGTTTTAGAAATAACAATAAAAAGACTTAATTTATAAAATTGGAATTACTGGGGGGATTTTCATATCACTTCAAAGGTGGAAATAATCTATGCTATCCTGTCCAGTTATTATTTTATAACTTTTTATAAACGAGGAATTGGTATCAGAATATTATCCATTAAATCCGATTTCTTATAATCAATTGGAATCATATATTAAGATTAACACTTCTGATGAATCGCTTGCTGATAAAACATCAGTAATAAGAATAAGTGGTAGTAACACATTTAAAGTAGAGGAAGTATCATTTAACATTAAGTTTAAGTTGAATAAAGTTCCTGTAATAGAAGAGAAGACCAATAATTTGACAGCATACAATATTAATCACACTCCTAAAACAATAGAGAAAAAAGATTCAGTGAACAAAGTCCAAGTTAATGTGATATCTTTGAATTAACAGGGAATTTTAGCCTTGCAATTTAGCTAAAAATTCAAACTTAAAACCAATTCTAGCTCTAGCAATAACACTCGGCAACTATAAATAATTGATAGCTCAATACTCAAGCTATTTAAAGTAAAACTAATCTAAAATGCTAAAATTCAATTCCTTGATACTTGGAGTATTGTGAAATAAACATCAACCTAGCTTTATATATAGATAATATTTCCTAATCCTAAAAATGTTTCTGCTGAAAATGATTACGACACTCTTGAGGTGATATTTTCAGATACAAGTATGATATAATTCGATGATTCAATAAAATTTGTTTAAGCTAATTCAATAGTTAGAACAAGGGTCCTACCATAAAAAACAAACTCAAGTAAGAATACATAATGCACCTAATTATTTAGGCTTAACTTAGTTGGCTGGTGAAACTATTTCCAAGGTTGGCACTAGTATGGCTGCCTCTTTTTCAACTAACATCGCTCTATCGGTATTTTTAGGAGTCTCTTTGAAAAATCTTTGGACTTTAATGAATACATTATAAATCTTCATTTACTATCCATTACTTGAAATAGGCTTACAGTCTAATGTTATCATGATGATAACTTAATTAAAGGATGTAGTAAATCTAAACTTTATACCCAAAGATTTCTTGAGCGATATATTTGGAAATATATATGATGATATTGATGCTGATCCAGTACTTTAAACAATAGATATCTTTTAAAACTTCTAATTATACTTCTGAGATACCTCTAATTTTATATCAGAGGATCTAAATCTTAACTGATATAAGCATTGAATCGAATTCGATATTGTTTAATTTAGGGTAGATTTTTATTGGAATTATAGGATTGCTAGCTTTTGGATTCTTTCTATCAGTATTAATTAAGTTGGTTAAGAAATATCCAAAGTAATTATTCATGATAATTTATATTTTTTCATAGGATATAAAATATTGGCTTTACTATATATCAGAAAATTTTCTTCAATGCAATCATAAGATCTGTTATGAAAGGATACCTGAACTTTCTTATTCCATCTCTATTAACTTTAAACCAAGTAAGATCGACTAATGATAATCATTATAAAATTAGATATAAGATGTGACTTTAAATTTTGGAATAGCTTTGCTAATTATGATGTTTTTAACAAGTGTCCCTGGCATTACTATCTATTTTCTATACACCTATCGAATTAAGCTCAGTGATCAAGTATTTAAAGATAAGTTTGGAACTCTGTATTTGAATATTAAAACAGAGTCAAATTATAACTTGATTTACCCAGTTTACTATTTTATTAGAAGATTAATGATTGCTTTTGTATTTATTTTATCTAGATCAGCTCTTGTTAAAGTTTTTACTTTAATTACTTCATCTTTGATAATGATTTATTATCTTGCAAAACATAAGCCATTTGAATCAAAACAGCTATTTTACTTTGAACTTTATAATGAAATAAATTTGCTTTTGGTGACATATCTTCTGATACCTCAGGTTGTTGATTTTTACGATGAAAATACAATGTAATAACATTTCTTAATTTATGTATATTTAGTGATTTAAAGATCAATATTGGCTGGGCAATAGTATTTTTAACTATGATAAATATTGTTCTGAACATAATAAGTCTTATCTTAGATATCTTTATAACATTATTCTATAAAATAACTGCTAAGTTGGCTTTAAAGAGGAAAAATTAGCTTTAAAAGAAATTTATCGGCACATTTAAGGACATATTCTCTAAGAATGAGGCTTATTTAGTCCCATATGAAGAAACCTATTAATCCATTGTGGCCAAAAAGTCAAATAACAAGAAGGACTTTAATAATATTAATTACAGTTTGGAGTATCGCTAAGATTTGGAACTAAATAAAAACATTCTTTAACTTTAAAGCTCCTTTGGAAAAAATTCTGACATAAAACCTGTAAACTTTAAAAATAGGAGAAAGGATAGTCTGTAGTTGGAAAGATAAAGAAGTGAGAATCTTAATAAATTAAATTCTAGTACTTCAAGTTTAGATAATATAGAGGATTATGAATTAGATGAAGATTTCTTTAAGAGATAGCAGAAAATGATAATAAATACAATAGACTAGATTTAATAGATGAAATCCAATCAATTTTAATTATGAAAATGAATTTATATTTATTTAAGCAATCATAACTTCTCACATATTATCTTTGCGGGGTTTTGGGGTTTTGGGGTTTTGGGGG